CCAGAGGATTTCCTTGGCCAGTGCTAATCTCAAGAGTCATAGTCCAACGCTCAAACCACTACACCATCTACAATTTCCATTGTATACATAACTGAAATTGTAAAGGTAATTTTCAGACTGGCTGCCTATCTTAAGATTCAGCGCCAGCCCCACAGCTTAAGTCATATCCTGCCATTGTTAGTGAAGTGAATCCATTTGTAAAGCTCCAAAGTCTCGCTCCTTTCCTCCCCACTCTGGCCCCCAGGTTGCTTTCAGATTCCTGGCTCTGTCTAGGAACCGTCTCGCCTGCATGGACGATTACAAATGATATCATCGCCCATTTCGATATTCAATCAGGAGTCTAATTAAAGTGCTCATAATAAAAATGACGTCGTGCGGGATGACCTGATTGCACAGCCTATCTGTCAAGGAGTTTTAAAAGAGAACCGAGGGCCATCTGAGGATAGTTAATTTCTTCCCTCCCCACGTGCTTTGGGGACGCTTTTTGCAAGCATTGGCTCGTGGAAGACAAACAGACGGTTGCACAGCTTGCTGTCTCCAGTGACTTTGTGGGAAGGAACCACAAGCTGCTCGCCCTCTTCTGCTAGCCTTCTTTACAATTGACTTTACCGCTAACATGCCTGGAGGGAACAGCCTCCCTTTGCAAAGAATTCGGATGTGCGAAGGAGCAGCTTTTTGTTTTCAAGAAGAAATCCACTGAGATGTGGGTCAGCTGGGTCCTTGACCAGTCTTCCCCAAGCTAAGGCACTTCAAAAAGCCTGGACCCATTAATCCCTGGCCAGCAAGGCTGGGGATGTTGGGAGCCATAGTCCACTCACTCTGGAGAGGCCCCAGCTTGAGGACTTGTCTATAATAATAATAATAATAATAATAATAATAAATTTTATTTATATACCGTCCTGTGGCTAGCCAATCCGGGCGGTGTACAACAATAAAATAGTTACAACTTAAAACAATATGATTCCCTCCTCCCCCCCTTAAAAAATTATTAAATCAGATCACAATTAAAAACAATCGACAATTAAAACACAACAAATTGAAATTAAATTACAGTTAAAATACAAACCAACAGACCCTTGTGACTTCTATGCTCCCAGGAGCCATTTAGTTCTCCAAAACAGAGAAAAAAAGTACAAGCTTTGAGGTTTAAATTATGCAGTAGTAGTGGGTGGTATAGTGGTTTGAGAACTGAACTGTGACTCGAGACCAGGGTTCAAATCCCTGCTCAGTCATAGAGACCCACTGGGTCACCTTGGGGGAAGTCACATTCTCTCAGCCTCCAAGGCAAGGCAAGGCAAGGCAAACCTTGCCAACCTCTGAACAAACCTTGCCACGAAAAACCGGTGATAGGTTATCTCCACTTTATGCAAATCCCAGTGAGTCACTGTTGGGAGTAGCAAGTGGATTTAGGTCACTGAGCATTGCTTGTTTAAGATTCACACATTCAGTAACAGGAAATCAGAATTAGGGCAAAAGGAAAGGAGATAAGGATAACACAAAGACTGGAAAAGCATTTGATATAAGCACCAACTTAAAACAGGAGTAGAAAAACATTGCTATAGCTCAGTTCTTCATGAAAGAGCTGAAAAAGACCTAGGTAGAAATGATCTGAAGCCTAGAGTTTCATGTTATATTTTACCTGTAATGGTTGATAGTAATGTTTATTTGACTTTAAACTTTTGCCTCAATTTTGTGTTTAATGCATTTCTAGGTGTTGCATTTTCCTTAAATCTTCCTTTTTCACCTTTCCCTTAAAAACAACAACAAAATAAACTGGTCTTCTTCTCTTACTAGAGTACCACCATGTAGACCAAAACAGAAGAGCTATCAACCCTCCAGATATTGATAAACTGCCACTCCCATCATACTTCACCTTAGCTACAGTGGCTAGGACTGATGGGAGCTGGAGTTCAACAACACATGTAGTACAATGGGTTTCCCAGCCTGGTTACAAGCAAATAGCGAGTTCCATCTCCTCCTAAGTTCAGTTTGAAGATATCAACTTCTAAAACTGAATGGTCAAGGACTGCGTTATCTGAAAAGCTCCCTATGCACATAGGAACTTCAGAGACCAAAGATTTGGAAGGATTTCAGTGTAGGGAAAACACTTCACATCTCATTCTACTCCTTTTATCCTCACAAACAACCCTGTAAATTAGATCAAGCTGAAAGGCAGTGAGTGAGCCAAGGCCACCAGTGAGGTCCATGGCTTGGACCTCAATCACCAAGGTCCTAGTCCTATTTTCTAACCACATTTTTGTTTATAAATTTTTTATAATGATAATCTTATGGTTTAATAAATCAGCTTTGTGGTGATTT